TATTTTAACCCATACTAGATTCGCATGCTCCTTTACCTCGGCGGCTGGTATGGCAATAATTTATTCTCCGACGTCATTGGTTATATGCTTTGCAATCAATTTCCTCATTTTCAACTGAATGCCAGGAATTTCAGGGCTTTTTCTAGTTCGCCTTTTCTCTTCACTCCAGCCTATTTGCCTAGTTCATTTGCTCAACTACCAAGGGACCAGGCTGTCTGGTGCTCGGCTGGAGTGATGGGTTCTGATGGTTGTCTTTATTTGGTTGGGGGCCGTAAAGACGGTCTCCTGGCTTCAGCTCTCACGCATGTCTACAATCCATCTACACGCTGCTGGACTGCAGGACCACTATTAAATCAGCCACGTTGCGAATTCAGTCTTTGTCAAATAGAGCCAAAGATATACGCCATTGCTGGTCTATGTAAGACTATAGTTCTATTTCTGCGACTTGTTTTTCTGTTTAAAAGCTGCTCTGTACCAAATTCTGATACTAAGTTGTTAAAAGACCTTTTCTCCATCATTTTACATATTATACAAATATTTGATTTTTTGAACCTTTTTCGACCTGAATAGACACTGCATCTTAGTGATGTACTTTTCTGAGCCAAGGATTTACACAAGGTATAATATCAAATTTGGACCTCATGCGTTGGTATAAAGGGCAACAGAATGTACTATAGAAGTTGTTTTACCTTGTTTTCGCAACTCGGTCATATTGGTAGGTAGACTTAGAGGAACGCACCTATTCCGGAGTCCATTGTATGCATCATCGTTTCAAAAGTAGGACCGTGGACGTGGTACATTCCCAGACGTTTCGCTGGCATCGTCAGTGAGTCTCGCCATTCGTAGTACAATATTACAACTCATCAAAGAGACAAGTGAAGCCCATCCCTTGACCAAACGTGTGCTAAACAGTTTTGGTATCTCCTCTTCTGCCCTGGGCTATTCACATTTCTTATATCTTCCTATCATGCTTTTCCTGTCACTATTTTTTAGTGTGCTTATTTTTAATGTAGTGTGGTGTGTTCCTTCGAGCGGCATTCATGAAAACCCTTCACACTCCACACTGTCGCTATCACTCCCTTTCCCATTGTGCTGGGAATGTTGACCAGAGTCTGTCATATTGTTACGTAGTCCTTCCCTGGGTCCTATCAAAG